GTTTCTCGAGGGTCGTGACAAATTAATTTTGGGTGTGATTTACAGGCCCCAAACCTTGGTAGGGAGTGCAATAAGCTGTTATGGGACGAAATTCATAAGGCATCTAGATATGAAAATGTTGTGATAATGGGAGATTTTAACTTTAGACAAATTGATTGGAACAATATGACAGGAAATCTTGAGTCTAGTGACTTTATTGATACGGTTCAGGATTGCTTTTTAGAACAGGTTGTGACAGAACCAACTAGAGGAAACAATCTGCTTGACTTGGTTCTTGCCAACAAAGATTCACTAATTAATAATCTTGAGGTTAATGATGAGCTTGGGGAAAGTGATCACAAATCACTTAGTTTCAATATATCATAGAATTACCCAGATAACTGCAATCAAATCTCTGTCCCAGATTTTCGCTTGGCCGACTTCATGGGACTGAAAAATTACTTGGGTGGGCTAAATTGGGATGTCTTGACTATGGGTCAGGTAGGTGATCTTGGTTGCCAATATGACGTTTTTCAGAGCATAGTTCTACCTGCCCAGACAACTTTTGTTCCGAGTAGGGAAATTAGATCTAACAAAAATGATCCCAAATGGATGAACAATAGATTAAAACATCTCATTGGTCAAAAGAGAGGCATATATAGGCGTATCAAAAGAGGGGATGGGCAGTTAAGAAATCAATATATTCAGTTAAAGAGAGAAATAAAAAAAGGAATAAGAAAGGCAAAAAGAGATTATGAGGCTAAGGTCGCAAGGGATTCAAAGACTAACCCAAAAGGGTTCTTTCAGGTATACAGAAGTAAGATTAGGGACAAGATTGGCCCACTTAAGAGTAACTCTGGTCAGGTCACTGACAGTGATAAGGATACGTGTGAAATTCTAAATACCTACTTCCTCTCAGTTTTCACCCAGGAAAATACTAGCGATATTCCTGAAATAATAGATTACGTAGAACAGGATGATAATAAACTATGTACGATTGCGGTAACTAGTGACATGGTCCTCAGACAAATAGAGAAACTAAAACCTAACAAATCCCCAGGTCCTGATGAACTGTTTGCAAGGGTGTTAAAGGAATGTAAAGAGGAACTTAGCATACCTTTGGCTAATTAATCTTTTTAACATATCATTACAAACTGCCATAGTGCCTGATAAGTGGAAAATGGCAAATGTAATACCTATTTACAAGGCAGGTGACAGGTCCTTGGCTTCGAACTATAGACCAATAAGCCTTACCTCCATAGTGGGAAAATTTATGGAATCAATAATTGCCGAAGCAATTCGTAGCCATCTTGACAGGCACAGATTGATTAATGATTCTCAACAGGGTTTTACAAAGGGGCGTTCCTGTCTTACGAATTTACTAACTTTTTTCACTAAGGTGTTTGAGGAGGTAGATCATGGTAATGAATATGATATTGTGTATATGGACTTCGGTAAGGCTTTCGATAGAGTTCCACACCAGAGGCTATTGAGGAAACTTAGGGCACATGGAGTAGGAGGAGAAATTTTTTCCTGGGTAGAGGCATGGCTGACAAATAGACAGAAGAGAGTTTGCATAAATGGGGAGAAATCAGAATGGGGGCACGTCACAAGCGGTGTTCCTCAGATTCAGGAAGGATATAGGAAAGCACTGGTTTCACAATAGAGTTGTGGATGAGTGGAACACGCTCCCGAGTACAGTTATTGAGGCTAAAACGTTGTGTAGTTTTAAAAATAGGTTAGATAAATACATGAGTGGGTGTAGGTGGGTGTGAGTTGGACCTGACCAGCTTGTGCTGCTGGGTCTGGTACAGTGCTCCATCCTTGAGTGGGGATGACCAGACTGGGTGGGTCATTGGGATAATCCAGGGGGGGACATGGACCTGCTCTGCATGGGTCAGTAGGCCTGTTGCAGTGTTCCTTCTTTCTTAGATATATATATATATATATATATATATATATATATATATATATATATATATATATATATATATATATATATATATATATATATATATATATATATATATATAAAGTACCACCTCTATAGCTGGATTGGGGACCCTCATCCTCACAGAAGACAATAAACGTACCTCAGGGAAAACTCAAGGTTCTCCCCGGAGCTGTTTGAATATTTTCTTCTCCTACCACCCCCTATATTTTATATTTTATGTGAACATTTATTAATAAACAGAATACATTTACAGAAAACACAAACATGAATACAATAGTACAATGTGTTAAAGATCATGAATTTCCTCCAGCTCCTCCGAAGCCGAATGCAAGCCAAGTATGCAGCAAGCATTTCCCCTCTGGATGGCCACACTGAGGCGCTGGAACATATAAGTGGCTGCCCTTGGGTCCCTGGTGGTGTCGATGAGTCTGGAGCCCAATTCTTTAAGGAAACGTGTGGCATTTTTTCCCCATGATCCCTAGGTCTCTGATCCTACTGGGACAAATTGATACTGTTGGCTTATGTCCCTGTACTTGCTGATCTTGTACCCCTCCCTGTGGTCAGTAGCTCCTCCCTGTCGCCCGACACTGTGAAGGATATAGGTGTCAGCCAGTGTGGACACACAGGTATAGTCCCATGCTAAGAGCTTGCCATTCTTCCAAGGATAGGTGGTGATCCCGTCGGGGTGGTTTGCTGGGTTGTGGGTATTGTTGGCTGCTAGTGATTGGGGCTCCCTCTCGGCTGGGCATCCAGCTGTAGCAAGGGTTCTCTTTATGATGTCGTTGACCTCATTGTGTCTTGCATGCCAGCCCTTGGTTTTGGAACAGTTAAGACCATGTAGACCGTATTGGTCTGCTTGCGCTTCGCTGCAAATACACGTATATTCTGTGTGAATTGGGGCAGCAAGACGCAGAGCCACAGCAATACGGAGGGTCTTAGGGTCGAGTCGTGTTCCCATTACCGATATGGGAACTGTTTGGAGGAAGTCCCCGGAGTGATGTGCGCTCACAGCCTAGAGACGGGCAGTCTCCCTATCTGATGTTGCAGCCCTGAGCATGTGGCAAGCACCTTTTCAGCGATCGGACCATCCCAGTTTGACTGTTTGTGAGCCAGTGCTGCACTAGGGTTTGGTGCTGGAGCAGCAGGAGTCTCCCATACAGTGATGTCACTGGCATAGCTAGGGTCCTGTATTCCTGCTGAGTCACTGAGGTTATCAACTTATCAACTCGTTTGATGCTATGGAAGAGGATAGGAAAGCTGGTAGAGCAATCTGGGAGGATCTGCGTATTCCCAGCCCCCCAAGCCTGACCGGAAGTGAGGCTTGCAACCACTGTCCATCTTCAAGGGAAAGATTCAATACACTCTCTAGCATGATCTTAAGGAGAGAGTCATATTCCTTGAGTTTTGGACTGCTGAAGGCTGGGGAGCATCTCAGAAAGTAGGTAAGTTTTGGGATTGACAGGCACCTGGTGAGTAGGTAGAAGGCATCATGTGTGTCAATGTCTTTCATCCTGCTTTCCATTGTCTGGAGGTCTGAGACTTTTTTTTCTAGGATCAGATCGATGGCATTGGGCCCAAGAGGAGCACCAAGGAGAGTACTATTGGCTGGATCAATGGCTAGTGCTCCTGGTAAAACGGCACTAATATTCTGGATCATCTGTCGATTGGTAGAAACTATTTCACATTTGGTGGGGTTTAAAGAAAGGCCCAGGCTTTCTCCCATGTCTTTAATTTTACTGATGTCCTCTAGGAGAGATTCTGTTGTGCCAGCTAGGGTACTGTCGTCCAGGAACCAGATATTGAGCTCACTGGAAAGTGCTTCTGTGACTTCCTTGATGGCATATATATATATATATATATATATATATATATATATATATATATATATATATATATATATATATATATATATATATATATGTCGTGCCGAATAGGCAGAACTTGCGATCTTGGCTTAAATAGCAACGTTTATCTTGCCATATAGGACAAGTGAAAATTTGTGTATGCAATAATTTCGCCAAAATCATTCTGAACCTAACGAAAAAAAAAATATGTTTCACTGTGTTTGTTTAGTATTAAATTATTGTAAACAAATCTAAAATATATTTAGTTGGGCTAGGCTAAAATAAATTGTTCTTGTTATAATAAAGTTAGGTAAGTTTTCTAAGTTCCTTTTGATGCAAAATTACAGTTTTTTACATCAACATTAATGAAAAAAATATATCTTTAAACGTATAAGAGAAAATTTTAGAAAGGACTTAACTTTAAATGAGTTCTTGCTAATTGACCAGTTTTTACATATTCGGCACGACATATATATATATATATATTATATATATATATATATATATATATATATATATATATATATATATATATATATTATATATATATATATATATATATATATATATATGTATATATGCAAGGAATTCGCATGAACAGGCGAAATATACACAAACACTGATCTCTGGCCGAAGGAGACTCGAACCTATGAACCTTGGATCAAGGTACGCAGTGCTTTACCATTCTCTCCATACTGGACCAATACCTTGGCGCCTAGCTCATGCTAGACGTTAATCCAAGGCAGCCAGCTTTCAGGAAGAAGGCTTACAGCTTTTCATCTCATCCCCTGCATGCATCGACCAAATAGAGATTTTAACAATGCAAGGAATTCGCATGAGCTGGCTGCCTTGGATCAACGTCTAGCGTGAGCTAGGCGCCAAGGTATTGGTCCAGTGTGGTGAGAATGGTAAAGCACTGCGTACCTTGTTCCAAGGTTCGTAGGTTCGAGTTTCCTTCAGCCAGAGATCAGTGTTTATATATATATATATATATATATATATATATATATATATATATATATATATATATATATATTCGTCAGTTTACTGAAATGGTATCTTGTTCTCTATTTTAGTGGTTTCTGTAAATTTTCCTTAATTATTCATTTGTATTCTATACATTTGTATTATTGTGTACAATATCTTATATGTGATGAGAGAAAGCAGAGACTCGTCAAAGGCTCCGTTATCCGTCTCATTCAATAATAGTCAACATTTCACAGGAGGTAACGAGACAACACAAGGGATGGTCACTTGACTGTGTGATCCTGCAGAACCTGGTGACTCGCTTCAACCGTGAAGACATACATGACCCACCACCAGAAGGGGTATATGTTTACGGCCTCTTTCTTGAGGGTGCTTCCTGGGACCGCAAACAGGGAAGGCTTATGGAATCCCGCCCTAAGGTGAGTGAAACAAGTACTGTTGGAAAGTATTAAAACACTTCTTAAAGTCAGTATCGCCAAGTTTTCCCAAATTATTGATCGTTATTGCACCAAACTGGCATGGAATGAGTATGCTTTGTGCTGTTATAAACGAATATAATCTCTTGCGCACGCGTTTCTCGAAGATTTTGGATAGCAACGGTAAGTTTGATATTGGCCTATGGTTGTTTACATCTGTGAGGTCACCACCTTTGCGTATTGGTGTAACCCTTGCTGTCTTGAGTAGTGTCGGGAAGGTGCTAGTTTCTAGTGACTTGTTAAAAAGTAATGAAATAGCATGCGAAAGTACATGGGCCGCTCGCTTGTACAATAATGGTGGGTCTTGTGACAGATTCCCTGATTTATTTTTAAGTGACTTGATAATCGTGGTGACTTCAGTGGGCTCAGTAGGTGCAAGATAGATGGAGGTTGGCAAATTCCCATCTAGGTAATCAGTTGCTCGTGCGTTGGTACCTGGGATTTTACTGGCAAGATTTGATCCTGTGGTTGAGAAGAAGTCATTTATCTTGTTGACTGTATCAATAGGCTGTAGCGGTGTGTCGATCGGTTTAGTTAGGACAATATCACTAGTTTTTTTTCAGTTTGTGGGTTTCCAGAATGAGAGAGTGTTTTCCAGGTCTTTTTTTTTTATATCTTCTCTTGTTTCAGTAAATCTGCTGGAGTAGTTCAATTGTTTGGTTTTTTTATAGTAGTTTGCGTATATATATATATATATATATATATATATATATATATATATATATGTCGTGCCGAATATGTAAAACTGGTCAATTAGCAAGAACTCATTTAAAATTAAGTCCTTTCTAAAATTTTCTCTTATACGTTTAAAGATATATTTTTTTCAGTAATGTTGATGTAAAAATTTACAATTTTGTACCAAAAGAATCTTAGAAAACTTACCTAACCTTATTATAACAAGAACAATTTATTTTAGCCTAACCCAACTAAATATATTTTAGATTTGTTTACAATAATTTAATACTAAACAAACACAGTGAAATATATTCTTTTCGTTAGGTTCAGAATGATTTTGGCGAAATTATTGCATACACAAATTTTCACTTGTCCTGTATGGCAAGATGAGCGTTGCTATTAAGCCAAGATCGCAAGTTCTGCCTATTCGGCACGACATATATATATATATATATATTATATATATATATATATATATATTATATAATATATATTATAATATATTATATATAATATATATATAATATATATATATATATATATATAATATATATATATATATATAATATATATATATATATATATATATATATATATATATAATATATATATATATATATATATAATATATATATATATATATATATATATAATTATATATATATATATTATATATATAATATTATATATATATATATATATATATATATATATATATATATATATATATATATATATATATATATATATATATATATATATATATATATATATATAATATATATATATAATATATATATATATATATATATATATATATATATATATATATATATATATATATATATATAATATATATATATATATATATATATATATATTATATATATATATATATAATATATATATATATATATATATATATATATGAAAGCAGTGGATTGCCTTTCGATACTGCTAGTCTTCACATGGTGAAATGTTACTGATTCTAGTCTTTAATAGTTGCTTACATATGAAGAGATGTTAACATGACTCACGAAATTGTAATGACACGATTGCAAACAAACCATACCATACTAACCTTCCTATGATGTAGAAATATACCTAGTTGGACGAATCTTATTGTGGCTAGCTGGCCCAGTGGCTAACGCGACGGTCTGAAGTTTTGAGACTCTCTGATCGCGGGTTCTATCCCCGCCTGTGGTATGGTTTGAAGAGATGTTTTATGTTTGGCTGTCATCATACAATGGGTAAATCAATGCAAGAGCATATTTACTGGGGTTTACAATATATCAACTACGGTAGGGTATAGTGTATAGGGAATAGGAAGAGAAGTTTTTTCCTGGGTTGACGAATAGATAGCAGAGAGTTTGCATAAGTGGGAAGAAATCGGAATGGGGGCACGTCACAAGCGGTGTTCCACAGGGGTGAGTGTTGGGCCCATTGTTGTTCACAATCTACATAAACGACATAGATGAGAGAATAAATAGTGACATAAGCAAATTTGCTGATGACACCAAAATAGGCCATCCAATTCATTCTAATGAGGACATTAGAGCACTCCAGGATGATTTGAATAGAGTGATGCAGTGGTCGGAGAAGTGGCAGATGCAGTTTAATATAGACAAATGCAAAGTTCTAAATGTTGGACAGAAAAATAACCATGCTACACATAAACTAAATCATTCCTCTCTCAACCTGCGGGCTGGGAGGGCACATTCTGAGCCTGCTCCTGCATACATCTGGCGGCGGCCCATGTACTACAATCCACAAGATGGCAGACCGTCAATGTCGGAGAGTAAACACAGTCTGTGTTGAGTTCACCCGAAGCTCCCTCAGTGGTGCTACAATACATGCATTAATGCCGTACATTATTCACGATGTCTATGCCATCCCCAATGAGGAGTTATATGGTGTAGCTCTAAATGGGATGTCGAGGCTATTTGGGAAATTCGTGAATGCCGGCTTTTACACCAAGATTGTGCAAACTTTTCAAGAAAGAAGAATGGTGGTGAATTCTGCTGTAGAGGAATGTCAACATGACGTGTCCACATATGTCACCTGGGTCAAGGTGAGGAACGTGCCTTTCGAGGCTGAGGAGTACAATCTACAGAAAGTTTTTGGCAGATATGGAACGGTGCATGCAGTGACCAAGGGAGTGTGGAGAGAGGGCCCATATGAGGGGCTCCTGGAAGGCTTCTTCACCATCAAGATGATGCTACACCAGCCAATTCCCTCTTACGTACGTCTGGAGACATGTAGGACCAGGTGTTTGTTCATTATGCAGGCCAACGGAAGACATGCAGATTATGCAACTCGTATGACCATATGGCTGCTCAGTGCTCCCGTTGTCTGGTTGTCCGCTCCCGGGACCCTTCACCTGTGGGCCTACAAGCTGAGGCCTTCGAGCCTGAGTCTGGTCCCTCAGCTGGGCAAGGTTCCAAGCTTTGGAGTGAAGAGGAAACGCAGTCTATGATGTGTGCCACCCTGTCGATGGATGCTACGGTCGTGCCCACACTTTTTGTGGAGCCTGTGAGGCCTAGGGATTTAACACAGGAGAGGTTGCTGGAGGACGTGCTGCGTGACCTCCTGGATGGGACAGAGCATGGTCCTGTTGTTTCACCGGTGTGTCGTGAGTTAACGATGGAGAAATCACCGAACGTGGAGGTGCAGGACAAAACCACGTTGGCACGGACGCATGGGGTGGTGGTGGAGGTCCACCATGAGGCTTCGTCTGGTGAGGAGATGTATGTGGATGGCAGCTCCCGCAAACGATCGGCAGGAGCATCGGACATGGACGAGGTCTTGACACCAGGACAGCGTCCGGGGAAGAAATCGTGGACAAAAGTGGCTGAGGTGCCTCTCACAGAAGGGGTAGTTGCAAGGGCCCAGCATACGGGTAGAGCACAGGGGCATGGGGGGTCTCGAGAAGTTGAATGCCAAAGAAGGTCAGTCTCATGTACGTGTGGGAAAGGGAAAGACCCACAAACATAGAGGAAAACCACCTTTTTTGTAAATTCAAGTGTATCACCATCAATGCCAATGGCCTGAGGGCAGAAGTTAAACAAGTATGGATGGAGTGGTTTTTGTGACGTTACGCTGTGGATGTATGTTTTATACAAGAACACAATTACAGGTTTGGTAGAGAGTTATGGTTGAAAGGCTACCGAATGTATGTGAGTAATTCTTTAAAATTCAAGGGTGAGGTGGCTATAGTGGTGAAGGAGTCCAGCCCTTGGCATGTCTTGGGATGGGAGGAGGGGAGAGGTGGAAGGGTGGTAAGGGTGGATGGGTATTGGGGTGGGATTAGAGTTTGTTTTATTGGAGTTTATATGCCTGCAGAAAGCAACTCTACAGTTAAAGTAGATTTTGTGAGGGAGGTTTTAACGTTTCACACTCGGGGATTGCCTTTAATTTCGGTCATGGGTGGGGATTGGAATTGTATTATCTGCCATGGTGATGTTGAGCCGAGGGGGCAGGGTGCGTTTTACCTGTCCTAAGAAATCTGCTGGGGGATGTAGGGGTTTATGATGTGGTGGGGCAGGGTGGGTGGGGGGTGGAGCACACGTTTGTCTGCAGAGGCTACACAGCCTGTCTGGATAGACTTTATGTAACACAAGGAATTCGAGTTGGGCGTGTACAGACCTTTGATGTGGGGTTTTCAGACCACCATGCAGTGCTAGTGGATTTGGACTTGGATGGAATGATATGGATTTATCCAGGTTATTGGAAACTGAATGTGCAGCTTTTGGAGGGGGAGGGGGATGGGTCTACTTTTCAGGATTGGTGGAAGAATCTCTGGGAAACGCAGAGGGAAGGTGAATGTTTGTTGGAATGGTGGGAAACGTGCACCAAACCCGTGATAGCGAGTTATTATAGGAATCGGGGTAAGGAGGAGGCAAGTTGGAGGTATGGGCTACAAAATTACCTGGAGGATCAACTGAATGATTAATATTGTGGGGGGTGGAAGTAGTAGGTATGAAAACATTGAACATCTCCGCAATCAACTTGCCGAAATTCACAACGAGCGTTTCAATGTGGTTAGAATCAGGGCAGGCATGGAAGAGGTGCTATGGAGTGACAAACCTTCGGGTTGTGTCCTGCAGAAATTTAGGGTTAGGCAACAGGCAACATCCCTCCTGCGTTTGGAAGTATGCACCGGTTTGGGTGGATACCTGCCTGATCAGTTGCTCTCTAATATGGACAGCATGAGTTTTTATACTGATCTTTGGTTTGAGGAAAAGCTCCAGCGGAGAGCAGGGGGAGTT